ACCTATATTCTTCTCCATGTGCTGCAATCTTATACTCCATTGGCAGGGTATATGTTTAGAAAGGAGCAAACAGATCACCAGACAGATAATACCAGAAAGGTAATGTTTGTGTAGTCTTGACCTCTTGTAAAGCTTTAATAGTGATTTCTAAATTGAAGGACGGAATTCTGAAAACAGAGATGTTTTTCTTTAAAAGAAAGAAACTAAAAGATGTTTGTGAATATATTACATGTGAAATTTGAACATCTAGAAGTGTTAATATTCACTATGTAATGTAACCCGCAAATCTCATTGTTTGCTGCAGGTACAACTTTGTGGATGCCTTTTCCTGGGACTACTCAGTATAGTACTGTTTATGGAGCGTTCTCCTCCTCTTTACCACGCATACACGTCAATGACAGTATTCCTGTGGACACAAATATTTAGTGAATATCGGTTTATCAAAGCATTATGGAAAGAGTTATACGGAAGAAGAATCAATTACTTTGTGAAAATTCTAGCCACTGGTGCTTTCTCAGTATTCATTCTTGAATTCCTGGTATTGAATCAGAACTATAATTTTCACACTGCAAGCCATGGGAAATTGTACTCTACAATCCTGAACAGCATATTTTGGTAATTTCTGCAGGTTAATAGCTTTACTGAGAGGAAGCTATACACTTGGTGTTTCCTAGTTTCCGGAGTCGTATCCTTTCTCTATCTCTTAAAATCGATTCCCTGGAGATCTGGCATACCAATCTTTGCCTGTGCTGCATGTTGGTTCTTGTCTGTATTTACATTGATGCCAGCAGAAATTCCTGATAATAATCGTCTAGTGTAAGTCATCTTAATTCTTGAATGTTTCTCTGCGGTGCGTACGTGTGTTGGGGCGGGGGTTACTTCCATTATAAATGTAACGAACTTCAGAATTGAACCCAATCTCTAATTCAAACAATACCCTTATTGTGCTCACATCTTTTTATGGGCAAGCTGGGTTTAGTTGGGATTTCCTTCTTTCTTTCTCATTTTTTAACTTTTTAAATGAAATACAAATTACCAGAAGGGAGGTTAAACCTGATATGTGTTCAAAGCAGAACCCAGCACTTGCCAATTTTACTATTTGCAAGAACTTAAATCAGCTTTGATAGTTGTGTTTGTTAGGTTTGTGTAATATTAAGAAATAAATTGAATGCAGCTATGATTAATCAACTAAGATTAAGCTAAATTATCGTCTCAAAAAGATTAAGCTAATTATGAACCTTTTGTGACAAATCATGTTTGCAGGATTTGGAGTGGAGTTATGATTATTATGATCGGAGTAGCTGCTAGATTGCTAGATCTGCGTACTGAAGGAAGGTATTGGCTAAGTATCTGTAATCATGACAAGAAGAAACCTAAATTTCCCATGCTCTTCCAGTTACAGGTGCTTAACCTATCTCTGTCCTCGGTTGGTATGGAAATAAAGCTTAATGTATAATGTAACTTAACAGATCTGGAGATACATATGATAATTTTGAAATTTTTTGGAACTTTGTGAATTAGGCTCTTTTGGTTGGATTGTCATCCGTGATGGTGTCAATATCAACCTCTCACAGAACTGAGAACCAAGAACTACTCGCTTTGCATCAGATCATAAATTGGTCCATCGCTGGTATGGGCTTTCACTCTTCCCTTTTAGGGCCTTTTTACATATCCGAGTTGTTTGTTCTTTTCTCTTTGTAATTGGTATGTCAGTTGACAGGTATTTAATGCCTTAAGAGTTTATAACTGCAAATATCATGTCTATTTATATTGATCTTTAATTTGTCTGGTCATAGGTTTCTCGATGATACTTCCATTATTTTCAGCAAATGGTCTCTTGTCCCGTCTTACTTCCATATTTCTCGGTTTTGCGCCCACTTTTCTTCTATTATCTATCGGGTACATTCCTTTTATATGCTCACTTATAGTTGCCTTCATTTAACAGATTTGTTTAATATGCGGAATGTTAGGTTGAATTTTTTTCATCTTTTCACTCATTCTCTAGACCTATGCAGATATGAAGCTGTTTTCTACGGTGCTCTGGCTCTTGTACTCATCTCGTGGATACTAGTTGAAAATACGCTTATTTACTCAAGTAAGGTGAGAAGGTTGTCAAGTTCCTTTAGTGGTATGGAGGAAAATGTCATACTTGATGGTAGATACTTACAGCTGTCTGACGTGAGAATTCCATTGATCTTTGTAAGTCCTATCCTTTTTCTTTTTGTTACAATACTGAAAAATTTATCTGATTGTTCGAGAAATTTAACGATATATATTGCCCTTTTTTTTTTAATAATCTAACTGCTCATCATTCATATTGTATGTCTCCGATGTCTTTTGTGGTTTTAGATGGTTTTATTCAATGTTGCTTTCTTTGGAACGGGAAACTTTGCAAGTATAGCAAGTTTTGAGATTTCATCAGTGTATCGGTTCATTACTGTCTTCAGTGTAAGTGAAGGTTGAACTTTCCTGAGCATTTATCAGATTAGTTGTCACTACTTACCTGATACTATTTGCTTCTAATTTCAGCCGTTTCTCATGGCCGCCTTACTTATCTTCAAGTTATTCATTCCATTCCTACTAGTCATGTAAGTCCAGTTACAATTTTGCGTGTGATGCGTGGCTACAAGCTGTCGAAACATCCTTCTTTATTGACGCTGTTAGTTATGCCGTTGGAAAATGCATTTTACTAGCATGTATAGGAAATTCTTTTTCTTTTAAGCCATAAAGAAGTTGTAAGCAATTGTGATTCTCAACTTCTCATATAATTTGTGTTCGACTGACATGCAGATGCGTATTCAGTGCAATAACAAAGCTAAACCGACTTCCACGTTTGGCATGCTATTTTCTCGTTATACTATTTTCGGATGTAATGACCATGCATTTTTTCTTCCTGGTAAGTTACCATATTCTTCAGATTTTGAATTTGTAACTTTTTCTCGCTGCTTCCGTCTCTTGTAACAATACGAGACTACCCAACAAAGTAACATTTAAACACAGATATCTGATCCACACCGCATACCACACCAGACACACCACACGTGCATGGACGAATGCTTCTTATTATACAGCATCCGATCAATCATTTCTAGTGAACCCTACTGACCATTTTGATTATTATCAGGTCCGGAATACAGGAAGTTGGATGGAAATTGGTAACAGTATCAGCCATTTCGGAATCATGAGTGCTCAAGTTGTCTTTGTGCTTTTGCTCTTTGCCCTCACAAACATATACACGAAGGATATCGACATTGGTTCAGTGGACCGCTCCTCTCGGAAAGCAATGTAAGTCGTGGTAAATTGGGACTTTGGGCATCAATAATTCACCTGTTTTCCGGAAAAGCGAGCATTAACGTTGCGGAAGGCGCACCTCTTGCGGTTCGAAGAGAAGCTTCCCATTCGACAATAATTTGCCCTTTATTCCTACACCTGCTGATTGCTCGTGGACGAGAGAACCAGCAACGGGATTTTCCAAGTGTAACCCAAAGTTCGGTCGTCCGCAGCGTAATGGGATGGGATCGTGCAATGTTCGATTGAAATTTTGGCACTCTTCTCACGTCTTGATTATTTAGATATTCATTGATCAATTTGTATCGAAATTTATCAAGTAGAAACTCCTCTTTTGGCTGTCTGAAATATTTGATTGATCATGGATTTTAATGTTTTAAAAAACGAGCCTTAAGGTGCACTTAGGTGGCTTTGGAGGCGGGGCGCTGATAAAAACGCCTTTGCCCAGCTGGAGTAGACTTAAACTCGCCTAGACGTGGTCGAAGCGTGCCTGAGATATGGGACTGGGCCTTTAAAAAAAAAAAAAAAAAAAAAAAAAAAAAAAAAAAAACCCAGTGCAAGTTCAATTCAACTAGGCTATATGACACCCCTCCAAGTTCAAGTAGCTGGAGTAGACTTAAACTCACCTAGACGTGGTCGAAGCGTACGTGAGATGTTGGACTGTGCTTAAAAAAAAAAGAAAAAAAAAACCGTTCAAGTTCAATTCAACTAGACTATATGACATATCCCTCCAAGTTCAAGTTCAAGTTCAACTAGACTATATGGCATATCCTCCAACTAGACTATATATTAACAATTTTAGGACTCGTAAGGCGATATTCCCATTCCCACGCCTTAATGCTTTCGCCTAGACGGAACTATTCATAAAACGTATTGATTTCACCTTCGTCTTTTAAAACATTATCATGAATTAAATATTACCATCTTCCACTTTGAAACAATAAAGGTCGGCCCTCTGTTAGGAGAAATTCTTGACTACGGACGACTTGACCACATGGTTGTCATCGGTACATGAATTCAGACAAAAAAACATAAAGGTCAACGGACTATCCACAGCCCTCAGATTTCCTCGTAGATTTCTTTGGAAATTTTCGACGTATTCTTCCGCGAATGTTCAGTCGTTAAAATTAAATAAAATGTTCTGGATATTTTCGTCGCGTATGAACAGAACAAAGCAAGGAGCAAAAGGGATTCAATAATTCATCGCAACTTTAACATGTAAATTTAAATAACGACGACGACCAAGACTTTCACGTCCATGACTTTGCGGGAAAGATTCCTCGTTGGGCCATTTGGTCGATGGAACAACGACGACGTCCATGATAATCTCATAAAATTATCATTTATAATCTCTTAAAAAAACTGAACAAAAGTGAAAAAATAGGGGCAATTTAGTAATTACAATGAATATAAAGTTTGTTGTTCTTTACACCAACCTCATAGCAATAATGTAAACACGGCATGCACTATTAAAAACCTAAAGATAGATAAAAAAGAGTAATGATAGATTAAATTTGGAGGTAAAATTTTATCAGTATATAAGTTGATAATTGATTTATTACTTAAGCGTTGATAAACGTGTTCATTTATATTTGTGACATATTATTTAATTTGTAAATTTTATCTACAAACTTAATCTACCTTGCATTACCCAAAAAAATAATATATCCACTTTCGAAGAAACTGCCTTTCATTACAAAAAATCAAATGAAATGACATTGTTCACACGGGTGCTATGATAATAAGATAGTATTGACTCCTTTTCTATCTATATAAAGAAGGACACCAACCATTCTGGTTTCCAAATCTCTCAATCTATTGTAGTTCTTAAGCAGATCGGCAAAAGCTCGAAGATGAACAACGTGTAAGTCGACTTCAAACTCCTCCGATCCTTGTTTATCTTTGAATCCCTTTGTCATTGATTTTTCTTATGTTTAGTTAGATCAAAGTACTGGATAGTTCACAGTGGCGGAACCAGAATTTTAGGTGAGGAGGGGCCTCACATAAATGTGAAAAAAATTAAATAATGCATGCTTGGAGTTGTGAACTAATTATTTTTGAGGCTCTAAATGTTTTTTCTATGTCGAAGTTAACCTTCCATTCTCAAGTCAATGAAAAATGCTAGGGATACTATGTTTTTAGACCATATTTTAGAAACCACATAATGTGACCCGTTGATGATTGGATTCCTTATTTAAATAAGTAGTCCAACCATTAAGTACTATACAATCATGTGGTTACAAAATATGGCTCAAGTAGAAGCTATCTATAGCATCACTCCAAGTCAATGTAGAATAGATTGGGAATTTCCGAACAAAAAATGAGAATTATGGATTGGGAGTTTGGTGAACAAAATATATGAAATTTTAAAAATTTAGTAAAAAGTTAAAGAGAGCAAAGATAAAATATATAAAATTTCAAGAAGCGGAGAAGGAGAAACTCAAAGTTGATTATTCTTTAATTGGCAATGTAAAAGAATATTTTTTTTGATAAAACTAAACTAGACTTTAGATTTTAATTTTAAAAGCTATTGATTTGTTTATAAAATAAGATTGTAAATTTATTTTTAGGACGAGTGTTGTTGGGATTGAAAAGAAAAAAGAGACTTCTTATTTTAACCATTAGTGAATAGCAATTAAGAGTTTTGTGTAAACTAAAAGAAGTATAATATTAAGTTTATCCAAATATAATACATAATTATTTAGAAAGGTTAGTTGGGGGATCCTTAGAGAGGGTAGGCCTTGGCCTATGGTGGCCTTAGAGTGCCTCCGCCCCTGATAGTTCGAAAAGATTTTTAATATGACTTAAAGCACTTTTAGAGAAAATATTTATGAGTTTCAAAAGTATTTAAAGTGCTTTATGTAAGAAGCACTAGTTATGTATTTCTTGTAGGAAACACTTCAAGTGGTTTTTCAAAATTCATTTGTATTTTATCAAATATTGGTTTTAAAAATATTTTCACAAAATACGATTTTAGCCATTTTAAAAATAATTCCAAAAGAGTCATACGATTTTGTTCAATGTAGTTTGGTGAAATTCCACTTCGATCCATGTAGTGTCGATTGTAGTGATTAAGCAGACATTTTAAGGACGTCTTCTGGAATGATTAAAGGTGTTTTCAAACAATTGAAAGTTTTAGTGGTTAATTTTAGAAGAAAAACTTATAAAACTATGTAGAAGCTCTTTTTTGAGAAGCATATGCTATGTGCAGCTTTAAGAAGCACTTCCAAGTTTTCAAGTGCTTTTTCGAAAAGCATTTGAATATTTTATAAACATTTCTCTATGTTTGCAGTAAAAAAGAAGTGCTTATAAGTAAAGTATTTCTCACACAAGCAATAGTTTAATAATTATTCCTAGAGTTTAACAAAGTATGGAACTTCATTCTTACATATGTTTTTCTAAAATGATCTTGTTACAATCACAAAGAAATATTTCTAGAACATCCATGCATACACTTTTATGGCATGTTTACGTAAGAATAATTGAAATAAAAAAGTAGAATTGAATTTCGACTACAAAATATTATTGTGTTTATCAAATATTAAGGAATAAAAAATTGGAAAAACTAATGAAAATGACTTGAAAACTTTAAATTTTAACGAAAATGACAAAATAAAGGGTAAAGTGAATAATATCAGGATTGACTTTTTAGTGTAAAAATATGGTTTTTCGTTAAAGTGAACGGTACCAGGAGTTTTTCATTAAAGTTCCCTAAAAAATTTGGCTAGACCCATGCAAATTTTGGAATTGAATTCCAAAATTTGGAAGAATTGGATTCCAAGTTATTGGGGGAACCAAAATAGATTCTCCTTTGAATTCCAGGTTATTGGGGAATTAGAATGAATTTTTCCTTCTCATCATACCCTCACGTATTTCTAAAACTTCAAAATTGCCATTCATATTTACCCCACACCACATTTATTCTCTCAGCGAAAAAAAAAATCAAATAAAAAACTAAATATTTTATCACAAAGATTAAAATAAAATAAAGTATTACCCAATAAAAAAATAGCATATGAAATATATTACTAGAATAAAAGTATTTTAGTAATCACATTGATTTTCATTCTGATTCATATGAATTAGTAAACAGCTTATATGATTCAATATTATTCTTACTTCAATACTTGAAATTTTTAGTAAACAGTTTCAATATGAATCTAATTTTGATTTCAACCCGTTTCAACTCCTCAATTCAATTCATCTCATTTTGATTACGTATTAGTAAACGAGCCATTAAATTTTTCTGCCAAATGTAATCAAAAGTACTCTTGGTTGTTAGATTGACATTTTTAGCTATTTCAAAGCAGTTCCAAGCATGTCTGTCATTATGGTTGGGTGTTCTTTTCTTACACACTTCATTTCCTTCAATTTTTGTTGGTGATGACAGAATTAGCACTGCTGGGCTTGAACTAGCATATTTGCTGGTGACTTCTCTCCTGCGCCAGTCATGGGACGCGATTCAGAAGCAAAAGATCCGTACAGCTGCTGATCCGAATGCACAAATGGCCTTATACGACATTAGTGAAACCAAGCACCCGAACACCACCATCATATCTTTTCTTACTCCACCCGTCACGCTTCAAGATCAACAAGCGATGATTCCATCGACAACTCTCAAGGACACAAATTTTCCTCTCTTTGAGTTTTTGTGCAATAAAGGCACCCCAAATTTCTCCGTCAATGAATTGGCAATCAACTTCTTTGCCGTGAATTTCAACATCCTCAATCAGTTGCTAACATGTGCGTATTGTTTTCTCTGAATTGCTCTGACAAGTAGAAAACAGTTAAAAATCAAATTTATAATGTTATATTACTCTTCACTTAATTAGTTTGGATTCGTTGACATTTGTTAACGTTAGCGAAAAACACATAGAAAACCCTCATTAATAGTTTATAAGAGCCGAATATAGTAACAGTCGAGTCCTTTATTTTTTTCTCTTTTTTATTTTTTATTTTTTTGTGTTTCAAAACTGAGTTTTAAGTGTTTTTTACTACGGAGTTTTGAGGAACTTATTTGTAAAGAAGTCTCTGATTGGTTCGGTAATTGACTAACTTTATGTAATATTTCAGCTGGTAGAGATTAGCAGCAATTCCGACTCATTGATACTGATCACTGGACATTCTTTTGGAGGCTGTGTAGCTACCCTTTCACCTTATGGCTGCTACAAAGCCTCGACTTGTCGAAAGTGAAACGCCCCCTTTGCATCACTTTTGGTTCCCCCTTGATCGGTGATGGAAATCTCCGACAATGTGTGTTGCAATTCTCAAAATGGAGTTCTTGCTTCTTGAATGTAGCCTCTATCAACGATCCTGTACCTAAAGTCTTCTTAACCGCTTCGCAAGCAAATGACTATAAGCCTTTCGGAACATTCCTATTGTGCTCCACTTCGGGTTGTTCTTGCTTTGAGGACCCTATTGCCATTTTGCAACTGTTGGTAGAAACCAGCTCTCAGAGTGCTCAAATTCAAGGTCCGAATTCGGGGATTCAGTTTTTCGATTATGGACAGATTTTGAGTGATCTCAAGCTGAAGGCATTTTCTAGAGATGTCTTTGAGTTGGTTGAAGAGGATAGATTTCCACTTAAAGCTGGAATTAAAACACAATTAGCGGCAATATTTGGAGTTAATAGCTCACAGGTATCCAACTTTCCACACACAATCATTTGATTGATGAGATTTAGAGAAATGGTTTCTGCACAAACCTGTTAATTTCTGTCTTTTGATTCCCCTTAAATTTATTTAGTCCAAATCCCATGTTTTTTTCATCCTATATATATTTTTATTTCTACTAACTTTTCTCGCGACTCATTTTGTAAAAGTCATTGCAGCAGCAACGACCCGACATAAATTTCGGCAATCTGATACAAAAGATGGAAACTCAAGAACGTCAGCACGCAAACCAGAAGAAGCAGGTTTACAGTTCTTTCGGGAAATTGAATGAGATTAAAAAGTACATGGCCTACATGGAATGGTACAAGGGGCATTCCAAAACCATGGGAATTGGATACTATGACAGCTATAAAAACAAGGGTAACACATATGACAATGATGCCGAAGGGTTGAAGAACAAGCTCTCTCGCTACTGGCAGGACACAGTTGAAGAAGTTGAGAGAAAGCCCCAGGAAGAAGAAGCCGCAATGCGTACTGGCTTTCTATTTGCTGGAACCAATTGCAGAAGGATGATCGAACCGCTTCACATTGCAGACCACTACAAGGGAGGTAAAAAAGATTACATAAAGGAAAGGCCTCGACATTTCGTTCTGTTGGAGCGATGGTTCAATGAAGACGAGGAAAAGAAGAAGGCAGAGAGAGAGAAGAAAGAAAGGGAGAACCCCCAACTGCGCAGCGAAAGCAAGCCCAACTCAAAAGCAAAGAATGTGGCTTCTAGTCTGAATGATGATTCTTGTTTTTGGGCGCACGTCGAGGAAGCGCTTATCTTGTGCAACAAACAAGCGAGTAATCCAAATATCGAATTTGAGCAGTACGTGCTGAATAATCTCGAGAAGTTTGCAGTAACGCCTGACATTTTCTTGGCCCAAAGCAGCTACATGCAATGGTGGAACGAGTACAAAAAAAGGGTGGGAAATGACTATTCCTCACCACTCGCCAAGGTCATGAAGCGTCACACTTATACCAAGTATGCGGAGGGGGTCTCGGTTCTTGCTGATATCTAATGCAGGATAATTAAGTTTTAAGCAAGCAATTAAATTAAATAAAGCAAGATTAGTTATGTTGTATTCAGTGGCGGAGCCACGATTTTAGGTGAGGAGGGGCCTCACATAAATGTGAAAAAAATTAAATAATGCATGCTTGGAGTTGTGAGCTAATTATTTTTGAGGCTCTAAATGTTTTTTCTATGTCGAAGTTAACCTTCCATTCTCAATTCAATGAAAATACTGGGGATACTATGTTTTTAGACCATATTTTAGAAACCACATAATGTGACCTCGTTGATAATTGGATTCCTTTTTTGGTGATTTAAAGAAGTAGTCCAACCATTAAGTACGATACAATCATGCGGTCACAAAATATGGCTCAAGTAGAAGCTATCTATAGCATCACTCCAAGTCAATATAGAATAGATTGGGAATTTCCTAACAAAAAATGAGAATTATGGATTGGGAATTTGGTGAACAAAATATGAAATTTTAAAAATTTAGTAAAAAGTTAAAGAGAACAAAGATAAAATATATAAATTTCAAGAAGCGGAGAAGAAGAAACTCAAAGTTTATTATTCTTCAGTTGGCAATGTAAAAGAATATTTTTTTGATAAAACTAAACTAGACTTTAGATTTTAATTTTAAGAGCTATTGATTTGTTTATAAAATAAGATTGTAAATTTATTTTTAGGACGAGTTTTGTTGGGATTGAAAAGAAAAAGAGACTTCTTATTTTAACTATTAGTGAATAGCAATTAAGAGTTTTGTGTAAACTAAAAGAAGTATAATATTAAGTTTATCCAAATATAATACATAATTATATAGAAAAGTTAGTTGGGGGGTAGGCCTTGGCCTATGGTGTGGCCTTAGAGTGCCTCCGCCCCTGGCTGTATTGCTCCTGATCTTCATAAAGAAAGGTGTGCAGTACTTGCCGGACTTTTTGGCGCTACAACTTTTGAATATTTTTGTTTGTGGTTTCGTTTTGTTTTGGGCTCTAGCATCTAGATCTCTTTGTTCAAAGTATAAGAATGTGTGGGGGTATTGTTTCAATTATGATGTTGTAATTTCCACTTCATAAAGCAATGACACTCGTTGCATTTCGATTTCACTAAGTATGAGGCTTATCCTAATTTCAGTCTTTCAGCACATTGCTACTAGTGAAGTTTAAATATTTGGTAACTGCTTATGATTCTTTCTTTTATCAATTTTTATGTGTTAATGTAGATGCTTCTAATGAGTTGATATTCTACTGTTTATTTTACCTTATTCTTAGCTATAATTTATTGATTATTTTGGTTGAATTTTGATACTTTGTTCTATATTTCAATTACAGGACATGTGAATCTACTTTGGGCATAAAGTGATCAAACGAAGGAATTTTGGAGTAATTTCAATTGGAATAGATTCGTGAGTCTTTCAAGATGATTGTGTCAAAATTCTAGAATTTAATTCCAAGCCGTTTGACCGTGGCAAAGAAAAGAAGACTCAGCGTGCAACTTTCCCAATTGTTTTATGGTTATTCGTAACTAATTTCCGTTTACTAGAACAAGATTACTAGCCTTAGCATGAATATGTTGTAATGACCCGTCTCAGATTGTATGAAACACAGATCGTCGAGAACAATTTTGTAATTTCACGTTTGGAAGATATTTGTATTCTTGAGTTTAGTGGACCTTATTTTGTGAGTCACGAGGCCCACATGTTTCCCTTGTCTCCCGGCTGCCTCTCTTCCCTCTCCCCGTCACTCTCTTTCCCTCCCTTCACTCTCTCTAAAACTCTCTTCTCTCATCTGTCTCTCTAACCTTCCTTCTCCGGGAAAGCACACAAACACAACAACAACAGCAGCAGCTGCACAACACCATCCCTCACCCTCTATGCGAACCTCACGAACCCAAAAACGGTGAGCGGACTTTTCCCCAGTTTTCCGGCGAGACGCATTTTTTGGCCATATCCGGCCAGCTTTTGGCTTCTAAATAGGTAAAATCGTATTTCTCTCCTCTTAAGCTTCGTTTTGACATATTATGGGTCCGATTTGACTAAGAAATGAGGAAGTTATAACCTTTTAAAGTTTACCTAGTTTCCGGCGACCCCCACGGCTTTCAAGTCATTTTCCGGCTAAACCACGGCTATTTAGCCGTGGAGAAAGGTACCATTCTCTTCATTTCGTCAATAAGTATGATTTTCATCTATGAATCACTTGATTTCGTCGAGTATTGAAGAAGTTATGGACGTTTAAAGTTTACTCAGTTTCCGGCGTGTTCCCCCGTTTTTCTGCGGACCAGTCAGTTTTCAGGCTATTTTCCGGCCATCTCCGGCAACCTTTGAACTTCCAAATAGGTATATTCTTGTTCTACACTTTCCTAGTTTCGTTTTGATATATTATGAGTTCGTCGCGAAACATTTAAGATGACGGAATTAGGTCGGGCAACAGAGCCTGACCCGATGAACATGACGACGAAAGTCCGTCAGGTAAGGCTGCGTTGACCATATTGTATTGCTACTAGGTGAATTCGGACAAAAAAACAGAAAGCTCAACGGCCATTCCCTAGCTCAGATTAACTCGTTAGATTTCTTTGTAAATTTCTTTGTATTCTTCCACGAATGTTTAGTTGCTAAAATCAAATCATGTATTAAATTACTCTGGAATTTTCGTAACGTAAGAACAAGCTGGAAGCAACATGGAATAAATAATTATTCTGAACTTTAACACGTAAACGTAGATAAGAAGGCCAGAGGAAAAGCATCGGGGCAAAGGTCCAACTCCCTCTCCTCCGGGAACCTTCCAGGAACAAGATCCGTAGACGACGACGTAGACTTTCCTGTGCATTGTCGACTTGGCGGGAAATTCCCTCGTGGAACTTGGTGGAACAATGACGTCCATAACAATAGTAATGATAGGACTTTCCTCTTCTATATAAAGAAAGACACTGAGCATTCTGGTTTCCAAATCTCTCAATCTACTGTGTTTTTAAGCAGATCGCCAGAAGCTTGAAGATGAACAACCAGTAAGTTAACTTCAAACTCCTCCGATCCTTGTTCTTCTTTGAATCCTTTGTCATTGATTTTCCTTATGGTTTGTTAGGCCTAAGTATGATTATGCTCAATATAGTTTGGCAAATTTCCACTTCATCCATGTGTGTCGATTGTCGTGATTAAGCAGACATGTCTAGGACGGCTTCTGGAATGGCTACAAGTATTTTGCATGAAACTTCTTAGGGTTAATTTTGGGGAAAAAATTTACCGAGTAGGATTATCTCCCCTCCTGTTCTCGTCCATTCCTCTCACACATTGCTTTTTGTTTTATTGTCTTTATAAAAAAAAATTAATATAAGATGTTAACGTGGTTTAACCGTGACCGTTGAAATAGAAGGGAAGAGAAGGGAAGGAGATGAGGATCAGGAGGGGGGAGCCTCCAAAACCTACAAAGCGCGTCTAGATAGTAGAAGCTTTTTTTAAGAAGAATTAAAAATTGGGTCCTTCGCTTTTTTTAAGGATTGGGTCCTTCGCATTTACCCAACACCAAATTTTGTTCCCTCAACAAAAAAAAAAATTGAGAAGAATTAAAAATTTTCTCACAAAGTTAAAATAAAATAATGTTTTACCAATAAAATAAAATAAATAAATACGAATTAGCATATAAAGTACATTACTTGAATTGGAGCATTTTAGTCATCACATCGATTTTCATTCTGATTCATGTGAGTTAGTAAACAGTTTATATTGTTCAGTACTATTCTTACTCTTATTTTTTAAAATTTTAGTAAACAGTTTCAATATGAATCTAATTCTAACATATTCCAAACTCTTCAATTCAATTTTTTCTTCTTTTGAATATGGAATAGTAAACGACCCATTAAATTTTTATCCCAAATATAATCAAAAGTAGTTTTGATTGTTCCACTGACATTTTTAACTATTTCAACAGCTTTCCCTCTGTTTAACTTTGCTTCAATTTTTTGTTGGTGGACAGAATTAGCAGTGCGGGGCTTGAACTAGCAAATGTGCTGGTGACTTCTCCTCCCCTGCACCAGTCATGGGACGCGGTTCAAAAGCAAAAGCTCCAGACAGCTGCTGATCCGAATGCACAAATGACCTTATACATTAGTGAAACCAAGCACTCAAACACCACCATCATATCTTTTCTTACTGCACCAGTAGAGGTTCAAGATCCACAAGCGATGATTTCATCGACGACTCTCAAGGACACAAATTTTCTTCTCTTTGAGTTTTTGTGCAGCCAAAAAACACCAAGTTACTTCGTCAATGAATTGGCAATCAAATTCTTCGCCTTGAGTCACACCAACCTCGATCTTTTGCGAACAAAGGTGTGTAATGTTATCTCTGATAATATTTAAAAAAAAAGTTTCTTCGCATACGAGAAATCCTTATATAAGAACTTGTTCATTCATTGCCTACTTAAAAATAGACATAGAGACGGAAGAAAGGACGAATCAAATAGTTTATTTTTTTTTTCCCAATTTTTGTCTATTCTTCACCTACTGAATCAAACTTTTTCATTGCTTTGACGACTATTAATTTTAGTGAGAAATGGTTAGAAATGATATTTATAATGTTAGATTACTTTATACTTAATTAGTTTGGCTTCTTTGACAACTCTTAATATTAATAAGAAACACTTACAAACACCTCATTGTTAGAGTTATAAGAGCCGAATGTCATAAAATTGATTCTATTTTGTTTTGTTGTTGTTCAAAATGGAGTTGAATGTTTTTTTTTTTTTACCACGAATGTATTTCGAGGAACTTATTTGTAAAGACGTCTCCGAATTAATTATATAGCAGTTCAGTAATTGACCAACTTAATGTAATATTTCAGCTGGTAGAAAGCAGCAATTCCAACTCATCGATACTTATCACTGGACATTCTTTTGGAGGCTGTGTGGCTACCCTTTTCACCTTATGGCTGCTACAAAGCCTCAACTTGTCGAAAGCGAAGCGTCCCCTTTGCATCACTTTCGGTTCACCCTTGACCGGTGACGAACAACTCCGACAATGTGTGTTGCAATTCTCAACATGGAGTTCTTGCTTCTTGAATGTAGCCTCTATCAACGATCCTGTACCTAAAGCCTTCCTAACCGCTTCGCAAGCGAGTGATTACAAGCCTTTCGGAACATTCCTATTGTGCTCCGCTTCGGGTGGTTCTTGCTTTGAGGACCCAGATGCCATTTTGCAACTGTTGGTGGAAACCGGCTCTCAGAGTGCTCAAATTCAAGGTCCGAATTTGGGGTTTCAGTATTTCGATTACGGACAGATTTTGAGTGATCTCAAGCTGAAGGCATTTTCTAGAGATGTCTTTGAGTTGGTTGAAGAGGATAGAGTTCCACTTAAAGCTGGAATTAAAACACAATTGGCAGCAATATTTGGAGTTAATAGCTCACAGGTATCCAACTTTCCACACAAATATTTGATTTGATGATGATTCAGAGAATGGTTTCTGCACAAACCTGTTTATTTTTGTCTCTTGATTTTCTTTTACTTTATTTAATCCGAAGATTGGAAATAAACACAGGTGTGCGGGGGGCAATCACATCCCTTGTTTTTACTTCTACTAACTTTTTTCGCAAATCATTTTGTAAGTCATTGCAGCAGCAGCAACCCGACATAAATTTCGGCAATCTGATGCAAAAGATGGAAACTCAAGAACGTAACCACGCAATCCAGAAGACGCAGGTTTACAGTTCTTTCTGGAAATTGAATGAGATTAAAAAGTACATGGCCTACATGGAAGGGTACAAGAAGGAGTCCAAAGAGATGGGAATTGGATACTATGACAGGTACAGAAACAAGCGTTGCTTGGGTGACATTAATGCCGAAGAGTACAAGAAGAAGCTCTCTAATTACTGGGAGGACACGGTTGCAGAAGTTGAGAGCAATCCCCAGAAAGAAGGAGCCGCAATGCGTACTCGTTTCCTATTTGGTGGAACGAATTACAGAAGGATGATCGAACCGCTTCACATTGCAGAGTACTACAAGGAAGGTGGAAAAGATTACATAAAGGAAAGGCCTCGACATTTCGTTCTGTTGGAGCAATGGTTCAATGAAGACGCGGAAAAGAAGAAGCCAGAGAGGGAGCAGAAAGAAAAGGAGAACCCCCAACTGCGTGGCGAAAGCAAGTCGAACTCAAAAGCGAAGAATGTGGCTTCAAGTCTGAATGATGATTCTTGTTTTTGGGTGCATGTCGAGGAAGCGCATATCTTATGCAATGAACAAGCGAGTAATCCAAATGCCAAGCAAATGCTGATGGAATTTGAGCAGTACGTGCTGAATAATCTCGAGAAGTTTGCAGTGACGCCTGATATTTTCTTGGCCCAAAGCAGCTACATGCAATGGTGGAACGAGTACGAAAAAAGGGTGGGACATGACTATTCCTCACCACTCGCCAAGGTCATGAAGCGTCACACTTACACCAAATATGCGGAGGGGGTCTCGGTTCTTGCTGATATATAATGCAAGATAATTAAATTTTAAGCAAGCAATTAATTAAATAAAGCAAGATTAGTTATGCTGTATTGCTCATGATCTTCATATGGAAAAGTGTGCAGTACTTGCCAGACTTGTTGGCGCTACTACTTTTGAATATTTTTGTTTGTGGTTTCGTTTTGTTTTTTGGGCTCTAGCATCTATCTCTCTTTGTTTAAAGTATAAGAATGTGTGGGGGTATTGTTTCAATTATGATGTTGTAATTTCCACTTCATAAATTAATGAAACTCATTGCATTTCGATTTCACTTAGTGTGAGGCCTACTCTATTTTCAGTCTTTCAGCACATTGCTATTAGTGATTTTTAAATATTACTCTATTTTCAATCTTTCAGCACATTGCTATTAGTGATTTTTAAATATTTGGTATCTGCTTATGATTTTTTCTTTTATCAATTTGTATGTGTTAATGTAGATGTTTTTGCTGAGTCGATTTTAAACTATTATTTTATCTTATTTTTAGTTATAATTTATTGATTATTTTAGTTGAATATTGATACTTTATTCTATATTTTAATTATATAATATGTGAATCTATTTTGGACATAAAACGATTAAACGAATGAATTTTAGAATAATTCTAAATCATGAAATTTGGAATAATTCTAAATCAAGTAGATTCTTGAGTCTTTCCTGTTCGGGAGATATTTGTGTTTTTGTCTTTAGTGAACCTTGTGTTGTGAGCCACTAGGGGCACATGTTTCCCTTGTCTCCCGGTTCTCTCTCTTTTCCCTCTCCCCGTCACTCTCTTTCCCTCCCTTCACTCTCTCCTCTCAATTCTCTCATCTTTCTCTCTAACCTCCCCTCTCCGGGAAAGCACACAAACACAACAACAACAGCAGCAACTGCACACAACCATCCCTCACCCTCTATGTGAACCCCACGAACCCAAAAATGGCGAGGAGATTCTTCCCCAGTTTTCCAGCGAGACCCGTGAGTTTGCAGGCATTTTCCGGCTATCTCCGGCGCAGAGAGAGTGAGCAACATAAATTTAAAGGACAATGATTGTCTGCCCTTCACTTTCGATGCCTTCCTGTTTTGTATGATCACAGTTAGCACGTTATTATTTTATATTATTTTTTTTATAGATATAATAAAACAAAAATAAATAATAATATAAAATATTAACGTTGTTTAACCGTGATCACACAATCAGAAGACACTAGAGGACACCGAAAGTGAAGAGCAGACAATCGTTCAAATTTAAATGAATGGTTTCGACTTCCCAAGGGGTCAAAGGTGGTAAGTCCGGGCTCCACCTTGGATTATGTGAGAAACATGGAATGGAGAGTGTTACAGAGTAATGAATGGTTTCCACTTTCCAAGGGGTCAAGGGTAGTATCTGGACTCGACCTTGGATAATGTGAGAAACATGGGGTGTAGTGTTACATAGAGTAATTGATTCGTTTTAATTTTTTATGAAGCCAACCACACATCAGGATGTTTATTTTTTATTTACTTATCTGTATTACTATATTACTATATTATTATATTTCTTTATTTTTCTCATATTTTGTATTTTATGTAATTTTAAATTATGAACTTGTTATACATGTATTGTTCTTCAATACTCCTTATTATCGTTATATGATATATATGTTTAATGTGTTTTTAAACTTTGGATTTGTTGAATACTCTTTTTATATTTTATCATTCTTTTATTATCTTATTTGTAGATTTCATTCGAGTATAATTTTTTGTAAGTATCAATATGTACTTATTTACAAAATATACAAGAAATTTATCTAAATCCGCCTAAACTGCCTAGACGCCTTCCTAGATCCCGCTTAGATGCCTAGGCGCTAATCATCAGCCTGTTTTCCGACTAACGCCTAACGTTTTTTGACCTTTAAAAAAACAGAAAGCTCAACCGCCATTCCCTATCCCTCAGATTAACTCGTTAGATTTCTTTGTAAATTTCTTTGTACACTTCCGCGAATGTGTAGTTGCTAAATTCAAATCATGTATTAAATTACTCCGGAATATTCGTAACGCAAGCTGGAAGCAACATGGAATAAATAATTATCTGAACTTTAACACGTAAACGTAGACAAGAGGAACAGAGGCAAAGTATCGGGGCAAACGTCCAGCCCTCCCTTCTAGGAACAAGGTCAGTTGACAACGACATAGACCTTCCCGTGCATTGTCGACTTGGTGGGAACTTTCCTCGTGGGGCCCTTTGGTTGGTCGGGACAATGAAGTCCATAAGAATAAGGACAATACTTAGGTCCTGACTGCTCAGGATCAAGTATACGGACCTCACAACGTGGTACACTATAAAGATGACACCTGTCTTTTTGCTTATCCAAACACCAAACATGGCTTTCTTTGTTCTATATATGCAAACATAAACTATTCTATTAACCAAACACCATCCTTCTCTCTCGTTGAAGAATCCCCAACCTTTAAGAGACAAACCAGCAAGAACCTCCCTCGACCCACCTCGTTCCTCCGCCGCAAACCTACCCCGTGTCCTCTCCACCGTCGATTCACCCCGTGTCCTCATCCAACTTCTCTCCTCCGTCAACCGACCGCCGTTCCTCTGTCAACTTCACCGGTATTCCTCCGTCGGCCCCGCTTCCGCTTCCGCCTCCGCCTCCTCCTTCAACCTCTCTCCTCCATCGAAGTAGGTCCATAAGAATTCATGTAAGGGAGGGGATCTTTGTTCTTCGTGTATAGTGTGACGTCGCTGCACTGATACAAATCTGTGATGGCATAGGAAAAGACAAGGACGATGCGGGATAAGCCCGGGAGCAAAGAGGAAGTGAAAAGGGATTATGGGGTGTTTGGATGCCTAGGTAATTGGATAAACAGGGTGTTTGGCTGCATAGCTTAAACATATAAAGTAGTACACGTGTTCTCTTTTAATTGAGGCATATCAATGGTCAGTGAAAATTGTCCACTTGTGAGTATCAAGTATTATCTTAAGAGTAACAATAGCTTTAGAACTGTTTCCTCTTCTCTATAAAGGACACACCATTCTGTCTTCCAAATCTCTCAATCTACTGTGTTTTTAAGCAGATCGCCACCAAAAGCTTGAAGATGAACAACCAGTAAGTTAATTTCAAACTCTTCCGATCCTTGTTTTTCTTTGAATCCTTTGTCATTGATTTTTCTTATGGTTTATTAGGATAATACTTGGCTACTGAAAGATAAATAGGAACTCTTATTTAAAACTCTTAGGGTTTTAAACACAGGATTTTGTAGTTATGATCATAACCGTTCATACTATGATTCACATTGTCAAGATCATCTCTGTAAAAAAATAATTGATTTTTGTCAGAAGCGATTTGTATAGGATGATTTATAAACGGTTTGATGACTAAACGTCCTTCGGTTTAATTGATTTTTGTCAGAAGCGATTTGTATAGGATGATTTATAATATCAACGTTTCTGATTATAAACACGAACTTCTATAAATTGATAACGAATAATTTTGAGAAATTTTACTCATCTCGTTTATTAGACCTAAGTATGATTCTGCTCAATTTAGTTTGGCAAATATCCACTTCATCCATGTGTGTTGATTGTCGTGATTAAGCGGATCATGTCTAGGACGGCTTCTGGAATCGCTATAAGTGTTTTGCATGAAACTTCTTGGGGTTAAATTTGGGGGAAAAAACTTACAAAGCGCGTCTAGATAGTAGAAGCTATTTTTAAGAAGCATATGTGCTATGTGTAGCTTTAAGAAGAGTTTCCAAGTGCTTTATTGAGAAACTCTTTGAATAAAGTAAAAGAAAAATGCTTATGAGTAAAGTAAAAGATAAGTGCTTATGAGTAAAGTATCTCGAGGCAATATTTAATAAGTGTTCATATGCTTTAACAAAGTGGAATTCATTCCTACTAGTCTTCTGCTAAACTGACCTTAGGATGATTTATAATATCAACGATTCTGATTATAAACACGAACTTCTATAAATTGATAACGAATAATTTTGAGAAATTTTGAGTATGGGTTTCTACTCATCTCGATTATTAGACCTAAGTATGATTCTGCTCAATTTAGTTTGGCAAATATCCACTTCATCCATGTGTGTTGATTGTCGTGATTAAGCGGATGATGTCTAGGACGGCTTCTAGAACCGCTATAAGTGTTTTGCATGAAACTTCTTGGGATTAAATTTGGAGGAAAAAACTTACAAAGCGCGTCTAGATAGTAGAAGCTATTTTTAAGAAGCATATGTGCTATGTGTAGCTTTAAGAAGAGTTTCCAAGTTTCCAAGTTTCCAAGTGCTTTATTGAGAAACTCTTTGAATAAGTAAAAGAAAAATGCTTATGAGTAAAGTAAAAGATAAGTGCTTATGAGTAAAGTATCTCGAGGCAATATTTAGTAAGTGTTCATATGCTTTAACAAAGTGGAATTCATTCTTACAAGTCTTCTGCTAAACTGACCTTATTAGAAGCACAATGAAATTTTATTGAAAATGCTTTTATGATTCGTACATACTTTTATGATACGTTTACGCATGGGTAATCGAAATGGAAAAGTGGAATTGAATACGTGAAACAGTTTTAACATGAATCTGATTCTACCATATTCCAACTCTTCAATTCAATTTCTTTTATTTTGAATACGGAATAGTAAACAGCCTATTAAATTTTTCTGCCAAATATAATCAAAAGTACTTTTGATTGTTCTAATGACATTTTTAACTATTTCAAAAGCATTCCCTCCATTTAACTTTGCTTCAATTTTTTGTTGGTGATGGACAGAATTAGCAGTGCGGGGCTTGAACTAGCAAATTTGCTGGTGACTTCTCCTCCCCTGCACCAGTCATGGGACGCGGTTCAGAAGCAAAAGCTCCAGACAGCTGCTGATCCGAATGCACAAATGGCCTTATACATTAGTGAAACCAAGCACTCAAACACCACCATCATATCTTTTCTTACTTCACCAGTCAAGGTTCAAGATCCACAAGCGATGATTTCATCGAAGACTCTCAAGGACACAAATTTTCTTCTCTTTGAGTTTTTGTGCAGCAAAAAAACCCCAAGTTTCTCCGTCAATGAATTGACAATCAACTTCTTCGCGTTGAATCACATCAACCTCGACCTTCTGCGAACAAAGGTATGTACTGTTATCTCAAATAATTTTTTCCAATTTTTGTCTATTCTTCTCCTACTGAATCAAACTTTTTCATCGCTTTGACGACTATTAATTTTAGTGAGAAACGGTTCGAAATGATATTTATAATGATAGATTACTTTCTACTTAATTAGTTTGGCTTCTTTGACAACTCTTAATATTAGTGAGAAACACTTACAAACACCTCATTATTAGTGTTATAAGAGCCGAATGACGTAAAATCGATTCTATTTTGTTTTGTTGTTGTTCAAAATGGTGTTGAATGTTATTTTTTTTACCACGAAGGAACTTATTTGTAAAAGACGTCTCCGAATTAATTATATAGCTAGCAGTTCAGTAATTGACTAACTTCATGCAATATTTCAGCTGGTAGAAAGCAGCAATTCCAACTCATCGATACTTATCACTGGACATTCTTTTGGAGGCTGTGTAGCTACCCTTTTCACCTTATGGCTGCTACAAAGCCTCAACTTGTCGAAAGCGAAGCGTCCCCTTTGCATCACTTTTGGTTCACCCTTGACCGGTGACGAACAACTCCAACAATGTGTGTTGCAATTCTCAACTTGGAGTTCTTGCTTCTTGAATGTAGCCTCTATCAACGATCCTGTACCTAAAGCCTTCCTAACAGCTTCGCAAGCAAGCAATTACAAGCCTTTTGGAACATTCCTATTGTGCTCCGCTTCGGGTGGTTCTTGCTTTGATGACCCTGATGCCATTTTGCAACTGTTGGTGGACACCGGCTCTCAGAGTGCTCAAATTCAAGGTCCGAATTTGGGGTTTCAGTATTTTGATTACGGACAGATTTTGAGTGATCTCAAGCTGAAGGCGTTTTCAAGAGATGTCTTTGAGTTGGTTGAAGAGGATAGAGTTCCACTTAAAGCTGGAATTAAAACACAATTGGCAGCAATATTTGGAGTTAATAGCTCACAGGTATCCAACTTTCCACACAAATATTTGATTTGATGATGATTCAGAGAATGGTTTCTGCACAAACCTGTTTATTTTTGTCTCTTGATTTTCTGTTACTTTATTTAATCCGAAGATTGGAAATAAACACGGGTGTGCTGGGGGCAATCACATTCCATGTTTTTTTCGACCTATATATATTTTTACTTCTACTAACTTTTTTCGCAAATCATTTTGTAAAAGTCATTGCAGCAGCAACAACCCGACATAAATTTCGGCAATCTGATGCAAAAGATGGAAACTCAAGAACGTAACCACGCAATCCAGAAGACGCAGGTTTACAGTTCTTTCTGGAAATTGAATGAGATTAAAAAGTACATGGCCTACATGGAAGGGTACAAGAAGGAGTCCAAAGAGATGGGAATTGGATACTATGACAGGTACAGAAACAAGCGTTGCTTGGGTGACATTAATGCCGAAGAGTACAAGAAGAAGCTCTCGAATTACTGGGAGGACACTGTTGCGGAAGTTGAGAGCAATCCCCAGAAAGAAGGAGCCACAATGCGTACTCGTTTCCTATTTGGTGGAACGAATTACAGAAGGATGATCGAACCGCTTCACATTGCAGAGTACTACAAGGAAGGTGGAAAAGATTACATAAAGGAAAGGCCTCGACATTTCGTTCTGTTGGAGCAATGGTTCAATGAAGACGCGGAAAAGCAGAAGCCAGAGAGAGGGCAGAAAGAAAAGGAGAACCCCCAACTGCGTGGCGAAAGCAAGTCGAACTCAAAAGCGAAGAATGTGGCTTCAAGTCTGAATGATGATTCTTGTTTTTGGGTGCATGTCGAGGAAGCGCATATCTTATGCAATGAACAAGCGAGTAATCCAAATGCCAAGCAAATGCTGATGGAATTTGAGCAGTACGTGCTGAATAATCTCGAGAAGTTTGCAGTGACACCTGATATTTTCTTGGCCCAAAGCAGCTACATGCAATGGTGGAACGAGTACGAAAAATGGATGGGAAATGACTATTCCTCACCACTCGCCAAGGTCATGAAGCGTCACACTTATACCAAGTATGCGGAGGGGGTCTCGGTTCTTGCCGATATATAATCCAAGATAATTAAGTTTTAAGCAAGTAATTAAATCAGATAAAGCAAGATTAGTTATGCTGTATTGCTCATGATCTTCATATAGAAAGTTGTGCAGTACTTGTAGGGCTTGTTGGTGCTACTACTCTCGAATATTTTTGTTTGTGTTTTCATTTTGTTTTGGGCTCTACCTCTCTTGTACAAAGAAAAAGAATGTGTGGGGGGTATTGTTTAATTACGATGTTATAATTTCCACTTCATCGTTGCATTTTGATTTCATGTGAGGGCTATCCTAATCAGTAATTGGAATAAGTTAAGACTTGCGATAATCATAGTTTATGTTGTATTAATCTTGCTTATGAATCTATAAAGTGCACAACTTAGTCTAGTTTCTTTGGCGTTTTTGCACAAAATGTACACAAACTTCTAATTTCTTTGGCTTTTTCACACAATACGTAATGTGTTATCACGGAACAAAAAGATATATACGTCAAGATAGATAGGCCCATGACACAATACTTATATTACAACTACATATAAGAGACTTGTTGAATACTTAAGAGCAAGTCCACCCCTAAAAATTTAGCGCCAGCACCCGTATTTATCCACTCAAGTGAACAGTAATATACTCCAGTGAACAATAATAGCCAAAGCATCTCCACCCCTAACAAAAAATAGCTTAGTCAATTTTATTAAAATATTATTATTTTTTATTATAAAATATTATTATTTTTATTATAAAATAATAAAAATAATAATTTTATTAAAAAAAAAAGAAGGAAAAGTCAGGAACCTCCACGGTTCTACTAGAACTCTCTATACTCTCCCTCTACATCCCCAAACGCCAAATGCCACTCCTGACGCTAACTCGCTTCAACCTCCCTCTACATCTCTCTCTCTCTCTCTCTGTTGGGTGGAGCTCTGCAAAAATCCACCACCATGTGCAATGATAATCCCACCGGATTCCAACTTTCCTTCCGGTTCACAATCCCCAGTCTTTATTCCTCCACAATATTTCAACCATTTTGCCTATCAAATTCCCTATCAATCCAACCTCACTAACCCAATTTGATCTTTTCCTCAATCGATGGTTCCCTCGGCAGTAGTCGCCGCGGATCCAGCCTATCACCTACCCGACACCGACCCGTATGACAATTCGGGTTGGTACCCGTGGACCCGTGTTGGATTTCGAGGTCAGACGCCTTTTGGTGAAGGCCTCGAAATCTCCCACTGCCCCAGAATCAACCTCAGCCCTTTGCGACGTGTTGATCATGTGGGAGGTTGATGGCCCGACATGTGGGTCTGTCGATTTTAGGCCGGTCTCTTGCCTGGCTTGGGCTGGGTGTCGATCAAAATGCTCGGCTGGAGTGGATAGCCTGGGTGTCGGGCTGGTTTTTTGGCTGGGTGCTGGCCTATCAGTTCCCCGGTGGAACTGCTCTAAAGGAACACACATTATGTACGTGTTCTCATGTTTTCATTATGTTCCAATAACTCATAATATATATATCATTCCGTTTTGTAATTTATGATGAAATCATATATATTTTAAGTATAAACAAACACTTATTTACACGAAATAATAATAGATTTAATTAAATCCGCCTAGTCTGCCTAGCTACCTGGACGCTAGGTCTCAGCCCACCGCTCGACTAATCTGCGTTAACCATATTGTGTAGCTAGTCGGTGAATTCAGACAAAAAAAACAGAAAGCTCAACGGCCATTCCCTATCCCTCAGATTAACTCGTTAGATTTCTTTGTAAATTTCTTTGTATTCTTCCGCGAATGTTTAGTTGCTAAAATCAAATCATGTATTAAATTACTCTGAAATTTTCGTTACGGATGAACAAGCTGGAAGCAACCGGGAATGAATAATTATCTGAACTTCAACACGTAAACGTAGATAAGAAGACCGGAGGCAAAGCATCGAGGCAAAAGGTCCAGCCCTCCCTCCTCCGGGAACCTTCCAGGAACAAGATCCGTTAATATACTTTCCTGTGCATTGTCGACTTGGCGGGAAATTCCCTCGTGGGGACCTTTGAGACAATGAAGTCCATAAGAATAATAATAGCTTTAGAACTGTTTCCTCTTCTATAGAAAGGACACTGACCGTTCTGTTTTCCAAATCTCTCAATCTACTGTGTTTTTAAGCAGATCGCCAAAAGCTTGAAGATGAACAACCAGTAAGTTAACTTCAAACTCCTCCGATCCTTGTTTTTCTTTGAATCCTTTGTCATTGATTTTTCTTATGGTTTATTAGACCTAATTATGATTCTGCTCAATGTAGTTTGGCAAATTTCCACTTCATCCATGTGTGTCGATTGTCGTGATTAAGCGGACATGTCTAAGACGGCTTCTGGAATGGCTATAAGTGTTTTGCATGAAACTTCTTAGGGTTAATTTTGGGGGAAAAAACTTACAAAGCGTGTGTAGATAGTAGAAGCTTTTTTTAAGAAGCATATGCGCTGTGTAGCTTCAAGAAGCATTTCCAAGTTTCCAGAAACACTTGAGTAAAGTAAAACAAAAACGCTTATGAGTAAAGTAAAAGATAAGTGCTTATGAGTAAAGTTTCTCGCGGAGGCAATATTTAATAAATGTTAATATGGTTTAACAAAGTGGAATTTCATTCTTACAAGTCTGACCTTATTAGAAGCATAATTAATTTTTATAGAAAATGCTTTTATGATTCGTACACACTTTTGTGACACGTTTTTATTTATTTTTTATTTATAAAGAAACGATATTATCTACGCTAAAAGGACAGGGATGAGCTTAACCTCATAATTGGCTATCAATAATGTAGTTCAAATTCGACTTTAACAAGAATCGAACCTAAGACCTCTCACTTACAAGTAAAGAGGAATACCACTAGACCGTAGTACTAAGTGACACTTCTATGACACGTTTACGCAAGGGTAATCGAAATGAAAAAGCATAATTGAATTTCAATTACGGAGTACTCCAGTATTTATCAAATATTGTAATCCAACTCCAAAATTTGGAAAAATTCAGTTATCTACAATTTTATGGAAATTAAATTCCGGATTATTGGGGGAATCGAAATAAATTGTTTCAAACCATTATACTCTCATTTATTTCCAAAATTTTAAGATTGTCCTTCGCATTTACCCAACACCAAATTTTGTTCCCTCAACAAAAAAAAATGAAAAATGAAAAGAATTACAGTTTTTCTCACAAAGTTAAAATAAAAAAATGTTTTACCAATAAAATAAAATAAATAAATAAAAATTAGCATATAAAGTACATTACTAGAATTGAAGCATTTTAGTAATCACATCGATTTTCATTCTGATTCATGTGAGTTTATAAACAGTTTCTATGGTTTAGTACTATTTCTAATTTGATTTCTAAAAATTTTAGTAAACAATTTCAACATGAATTTGATTCTATCATATTCCAACTCTTCAATTCAATGCCTCATCAACTCAATTCCTTTATTCTGAATACGAAATAGTAAACAACCTATTAAATTTTTCTGCCAAATATAATCAAAAGTACTTTTGATTGTTCCACTGACATTTTTAACGACTTCAAAAGCATTCCCTCCATTTAACTTTGCTTCAATTTTTTGTTGGTGATGGACAGAATTAGCAGTGCGGGGCTTGAACTAGCAAATTTGTTGGTGACTTCTCCTCCCCTGCACCAGTCATGGGACACAGTTCAGAAGCAAAAGCTCCAAACAGCTGCTGATCCGAATGCACAAATGGCCTTCTACATTAGTGAAACCAAGCACTCAAACACCACCATCGTATCTTTCTTACTTCTGTTGGAAATTTAAGTAGTTTGAATAGAAATTTCTTTGTCCCACATTGGCCATTTCCAAAAGATTTTATCACTCTATAAGGCTTTGTTCTGTATAGAAAGTGATTGGAGTAATAGGCCTAGAGACTAAAATTGGGCTCACCCTTAGGGTTGGGCTTTGGGGTGTACTAATTAATTGGTAATTAATATATATTTAATTGTCAAAAGATGGGCCTTGGGCTCTAATAATTAAATTAATTAATTAATTTTAATTTCGAATTTAAATTAATTAATTATTTTTACCAACAGACTTATCTTTTCAGATGAAGTATGAAGTGTGAGAACACAGAAACAAAAACACCCTTTTCAGCAGATGCCTCCCAACAGATGCATCCCTTCCTTATACCTATTGCGAACAGGTATAATCACAGTATATATACATCCATCTGCATGGCATTTAGAACAAAGAAAAAATCATAAATCTTCTCTTGCAATCATAAACATCCTTTCTGAGAGAACCACATTAATATTCGCCAGAAGTCAATTTTCAGGTATTGGAATTTTTGACTTAGATTGTTGAATCCTGATGAAGCAGATGTCCGTAGAACTACAAGCACTGAGTAGGGGCGAAATTTCTGTTTCAAGGACATTGCGGTACGCAAGCCTCGATCTTTTATTACTCTGCTTAATTAATATTTCATCTTGTTGAGTCTCTGGAATATATTTATTCGTATTTATTATTAGCATATTTATTTTATTACGGATTGTTGACATATATCCTACAACTTCACTAGTCAAGGTTCAAGATCCACAAGCGATGATTTCATCGACGACTCTCAAAGACACAAATTTTCTTCTCTTTGAGTTTTTGTGCAGCAAAAAAACCCCAAGTTTCTCCGTCAATGAATTGACAATCAAATTATTCGCCTTGAATCACACCGACCTCCATCTTCTGCGAACAAAGGTGTGTACTGTTATCTCTGATAATATTTTAAAAAGAAGTTTCTTCGCTTACGAGAATTCCTTATAATAAGAACTTGTTCATTCATTGCCTGCTTAAAAATAGACATAGACACGGAAGCAAGGACGAATCAAATAAAAAAAAATTCCAATTTTTGTCTCTTCTTCTCCTACTGAATCAAACTTTTTCATCGCTTTGACGACTATTAATTTTAGTGAGAAACGGTTAGAAATGATATTTATAATGTTAGATTACTTTCTACTTAATTAGTTTGGCTTCTTTGACAACTCTTAATATTAGAAACACTTACAAACACCTCATTATTAGTGTTATAAGAGCCGAATGTCGTAAAGTTTATTCTATTTTGTTTTGTTGTTGTTCAAAATGGAGTTGAATGTTTTTTTTTTAACCACGAATATATTTTGAGGAACTTATTTGTAAAGACGTTTCCGAATTAATTATAAAGCAGTTCAGTAATTGACTAACTTCATGTAATATTTCAGCTGGTAGAAAGCAGCAATTCCAACTCATCGATACTTATAACTGGACAGTCTTTTGGAGGCTGTGTAGCTACCCTTTTCACCTTATGGCTGCTACAAAGCCTCAACTTGTCGAAAGCAAAGCGTCCCCTTTCCATCACTTACGGTTCACCCTTGACCGGTGACAAACAACTCCGACAATGTGTGTTGCAATTCTCAACATGGAGTTCTTGCTTCTTGAATGTAGCCTCTATCAACGATCCTGTACCTAAAGCCTTCCTAACCGCTTCGCAAGCGAGTGATTACAAGCCCTTCGGAACATTCCTATTGTGCTCCGCTTCGGGTGGTTCTTGCCTTGAGGACCCTGATGCCATTTTGCTGGAATATTTGATTTGATTTGATGATGATTCAGAGAATGGTTCTGCACAAACCTGTTTATTTTTGTCTCTTGATTTTCTTTTACTTTATTTAATCCCAAGATTGGAAATAAACACGGGTGTGCTGGGGGCAATCACATTCTACTAACTTTTTTCGCAAATCATTTTGTAAAAGTCATTGCAGCAGCAACATCCCGACATAAATTTCGGCAATCTGATGCAAAACATGGTAACCAAAGAATGTAAACAAGCGATCGACAAGGCGAAGGCTTACAGTTCTTTCTTGAAATTGAATGAGAATAGAGAGTACATGGCCAGCATGGAATGGTACAGGAAGGAGTCCAAAGAGATGGGAATTGGATACTATGACAGGTACAGAAACAAGCTTTACTTAAGTGACATTATGGCCACAGATTACAAGAAGAAGCTCTCGAACTACTGGGAGGACACGGTTGCAGAAGTTGAGAGCAATCCCCAGAAAGAAGGAGCCGCAATGCGTACTCGTTTCCTATTTGGTGGAACGAATTACAGAAGGATGATCGAACCGCTTCACATTGCCGAGTACTACAAGGAAGGTGGAAAAGATTACATAAAGGAAAGGCCTCGACATTTCATTCTGTTGGAGCAATGGTTCAATGAAGACGAGGAAAAGAAGAAGGCAGAGAGAGAGAAGAAAGAAAGGGAGAACCCCCAACTGCGCAGCGATACCAAGTCGAACTCAAAAGCGAAGAATGTGGCTTCTAGTCTCAATGATGATTCTTGTTTTTGCGTGCACGTTGAGGAAGCGCTTATCTTGTACAATGAACAAGCGAGTAATCCAGATGCCAAGCAAAAGTTGATTGACTTTGAGCATTACGTGCTGAATAATCTCGAGAAGTTTGCAGTGACGCTTGATATTTTCTTGGCCCAAAGCAGCTACATGCAGTGGTGGAACAAGTACGAAAAAAGGGTGGGAAATGACTATTCCTCACCACTGGCCAAGGTCATGAAGCGTCGCACTTATACCAAGTATGCAGAGGGGGTCTCGGTTCTTGCTGATATATAATGCAAGATAATTAAGTTTTAAGCAAGCAATTAAATCAGATAAAGCAAGATTAGTTATGCTGTATTGCTCATGATCTTCATAGAGAAAGATGTGCAGTACTTGCAGGGCTTGTTGGTGGTACTACTTTCGAATATTTTTGTTTGTGGTTTCATTTTGTTTTGGGCTATCTAGCTTTCTTGTACAAAGAAAAATAATGTGTGGGGGTATTGTTTCAATTACGATGTTGTAATTTTCACTTCATAAAACACTCGTCGCATTTCGATTTCGTTAAGTGTGAAGGCTATCCTAATCAGTAATTGGAATAAATTGAGACTTGCAATGATCATGGTTTACGTTGTATTAATATTGCTTATGAATCTATAAAGTGCACAACTTAGTCTAGTTTCTTTGGTGTTTTCGCACAAAATGTACACAAACTTCTAATTTCTTTGGCTTTTTTCACACAATACGTAATGTGTTATAACGGAACAAAAAGATATATATGTCAAGATAGATAGGCCCAGGACACAGTACTTATATTACAACTACATATATGAATGTTTTGGATGAGCTGTTGATTTAGATGGAAAGGGATCCTCTCCGGATCCTTTCCACCAAATCCACCCAATCAACCAATCCGAGTTTTTGAAATTTGATCCAACGGCTAAAGTTATTATAACTTTTAAAGAACCCTCTATTTTTAGCCGTTTGATCAAATTTCAAGTATTCAGATTGGTTGATTGAATAGATTTGGTGGAAGTGATTCGAAGATGATCTCTTTCCGATTTAGATAGACATTGCCATCACTGCCAAATATTTGGAAAATAACTAGACATGGGAACAAAACCCAGCTTAGATGGGACCGGCATGCACATGCAAAAATGCAGTTGTCATCACATCTGTTTGTCATCTGTACAATTAATCTCTGTAATTTTCAACAAACCCTTTTGTTTTGGTTCAGACAGTATTCCACTTTTGATCTTCCGGTCCCACTGTAAATGTGCTTTCGTGCTTTCTGCTCAAAGGGTAAGGGCCATTTTCTTTTTAAGTTTAACCGCCCAATAACAAATATATGTTTTCCGGTCTTTATTTTTGAACTTCTCGTTCGACTTTATAGACTCTATTATATTTTCCTTCTGTTTTAATCGATTAAATGATCGAAAGAAAATTAAGAGATAAAAAATTAGAAAGGGAGTGCAAGAGGTAAAAAAAAAAAAGAATTAAGATTCGTTTGATTACTATATAGTTTTTAATTTTTAGTTTCAATTCTTATTTTTTGAAAATTGAAATTAGTTCCAAAAAAAATAGTTCTTTTAGTTTTCAGATTAAAAAAATAAACACGAAATTGTGTAAAATAAACATGAATTGGTTTTATGGTGGAATCTCAACTTTCTTCATAGTATCAAAGCCAAGTTGTCCCATATATGAAACCAAACTACCACATGTGCTCCACGTCATCCCGTTATATTGTCCACGTGTTAGGCTTGAAAATTCGTTATACGTGAGGGGACGTGTTGAAAATAAGTTCCACATTGACAGGAGGTGAGACTTTACATCGACTTATAACAGGTTGAGTTACTCGCCATATTAACAAGTGATAAATTTATAACAACAAAGTTATTAGAAAAAAAAAATTATTAACGTGTGTCAATTCACAATAGAACACATATTTAGCCCCTGGAATCGAAAGTACAACTGGATCACCGACGATTATATGATTCAATAAGAACACGAAAGAGCTGAGCTAGCACGGGATGGGATGGAAATAGCGAGTCCACGTTGACGTTGGACCGTTTGATTGGCGACGGTGATCTATCACGTGACCGACGAAATACACGGCAAATACAACGTTGCCCTTGCCCCTTTCTCCCCAGTATCCACCAAAACCTAGCCTCCATTTAATACTTAACAACAGCAATCTTTTGCCAGAACAGGGGCATTTCCGTCATTCCATAAACCTCGAAGCGAAGTCCAGCCCATAATTTAAGTGGGCCGTCCATTGTTCCTTGGCACGATTACCGTGATTGACGGTGGAAAGAGTGCCGCGTGGTCACTCGCTTCCCTCTATCTCTCTCCCTCGCCCCCGTAGATCCTTCTTCTCATCTACCTCAGTCTCTGTCTCTATTTTCTTCCTCCTCCTCTGAGCTGAAATCCAAAGAGCTCAGTTCTTCCTCCGAGCTAGTTAAACATCCACCGCCCGCCAGCTGAAGCAGTTGGCGAAGCAACAGCCGCCGCAGAGAGAAGCTAAGCATGATGGCATTCCTCATTGTCCTCCTCACATCTCTACTAGCTCTCACCACTCTCCCCGCCGCCGAATCCCAACTCTACACCAACTACTACCAAAAGTCGTGCCCGGGATTCGCCCAAATCGTCCAAGACACCGTCACCAACAAGCAGATAACGAACCCCACCACGGCCGCCGGCACCCTCCGCCTCTTCTTCCACGACTGCCTTCACAATGGCTGCGATGGCTCCATTCTCCTCTCCTCCACCCCCTTCAACAAGGCCGAGCGCGACGCCGACATCAACCTGTCCCTCCCCGGAGACGCCTTCGACGTCGTTGTCCGCGCCAAGACCGCCCTCGAGCTCGCCTGCCCCAACACCGTCTCCTGCGCTGACATCCTCGCCGTCGCCACCCGCGATCTCGTAACCATGATGGGCGGCCCCTTCTACAACGTCCCCCTCGGCCGCCGCGACGGCCGCTCCTCCAATGCCTCCGCCGTCGAAGGCACCCTCCCCCGCCCCGCCATGACCATCTCCCAGCTCATCGAGGTCTTCGGGTCCAGGGGCTTCTCCGTCCAGGAAATGGTCGCCCTCAGCGGGGCCCACACCATCGGGTTCTCCCACTGCAGCGAGTTCAGCTCGGCGATCTACAACTACAGCAAGTCGGCGCAGTCCGACCCGAATTACAACCCGAGATTCGCATCCGGGTTGCAGCAGGCCTGCGCGGATATCAAGAAGAACCCGACCCTCTCCGTCTTTAACGACGTTATGACGCCCAACAAATTCGACAATGTCTACTTCCAGAACTTGCCAAAGGGTCTGGGGGTTTTGAAATCGGACCACGCGCTGTTTAACGACGCCAAGACGCGGCCGTTTGTCGAGCTGTACGCCAACGACCAGAACCGCTTTTTTCGGGATTTTGCCAAGGCGATGGAGAAGCTCGGCGTGTTAGGGATTCAGACCGGAAAACGCGGAGAGATTAGGCACAGATGCGACGAGTCTAATTATTAGTTAATTAGACTTTGTTTTAATTTTTTTTTGTTATTGGAATTATGTTCAGATTTTGCCCAAAATCGAATACAATAGTGTTTTAAGATTTATATAACCGATCCTATTTGATAAGAGAAATATTTGTTGTTATTGTATCGGGATATTTGTTGAGCTGAAATATACACTACATCTTTTTTTGTATTTTTTGTATGGCATCCGACTTGGACACGGACATTTCAATTACGTTATCTGTGGAGCACCTCTTGAATAATCAAGAGATCACCTTTTATTTTAATCGCATCCGACTCTACTGACTCCTACTCATGTAAGAGTTTGCTCTAATAGAACAGGTGCAAAAAGAAAACAAAGAAAACACAGTGTTCTAGTTAATTTAGCTATATCATATCCGAAATTACTTGCGGATTTGGTTTAGGATAGTGTGTGTTTGTGAGGAAATAGATCATCTTCGGATCCCCTTCCACCTAATCCATCTAATTTGGGATCCAAGCCGTTGAAATTTGATTAAATGGCTACAATTATTATCACTTTTAAAGGAACCCCATGTTTGTAGCCGTTAAATCAAATTTCAACTGTCCGGATCCCGGACTAGGTGGAATCCTCTGTTTGTGAAAACACGATGTCAGCAAATGGCATTGTTGAATACAATTAAATAATTAACTAGGGTTGTAGCTCCCATTAAAAATGATTATAATTTAATGATGAACAAATTAGAGCAAAGCTTTTTAATTTTGAACGGATCATTTTATTGTTTTAAGTTGAATTTTGTCTCTTCTTTACGGCTTTATTCAAGAACTTATTTATTTATTTATTTTAGGTGTTTTAAAAAACAAGAAGAAATTGATTTAAAATATGCTTGCAAATATGCATGTGCATTTCATAATTGATGTTCCAAAACTTTCATTTTTTAATTTGGGAAAACAGATTCTCGTCTTTAGGCGGAGAGAATTTTAAATGTGCTATGAACACGTACCGATACATTAAGTTTAATAATACAATTAATTGGAAGTTTTAGAGAGAAAAAAATCTCAATCAATTATATCATAATACTTGGTTTACCGGACATGAATCTTAACACTCTAAAAAATTACTCATGAGGAGGAGAAGGTTATAGTTAAACATCTAACAGTCGATCATGCTAATTAGAGCAGTATTAGTGCATCTATATATTAAAATATCGGTTGAATCTCTATAAAAAAAATATCAATGGAGCAAGAGAAAAAGAAATAAAAACTACAAGAAAGCTTCATCGTAATCGAGAATTTATTTCCATGTGAGTTTCTTACTTATCACGAAGCTCCCCATCAAATAATGTCGCATCCTCATAAAAGTTAGGACACTGACAACGAAAAATTGTTATATCTTGAAGGTTAAAATGGTTTGAGAGTTTTTCGGTAACCCTAGATTACAAACTACCATATAAATAACTTATGAACTGTAGTCCACTTAGCTGGTTTGTTGCAATTTTTTTTTTCTGAGAAAGGGACCAGCTAGAGGCAAAGTCACGTCAGTCCACAATTTATTAGCGCTAGGAATTGAACTCAGAAGACTCGTAGATGCATTTTAGCCTTCATTTGCCTACTATTGTGTGATTCACCAGCACTAGGGAATCGAACTTAAAACGAACCATGTGAAATACGAGCTTGAAATTCGTCCCAACCACTGGCCATCCCGTTATGGTTGCTGGTTTGAGGCAATTGAGTTAAAGTAAGCAAAAATGCTACTCTTACCATCTAGTTTTACCATTATTTGTAACATCTCCCCTATAGAGATAAGACTTACATGCATTGACGAGTTTTATTTCTATTAGAGAGATGGTACAACTAGAAGATGATTGATGAGTGTAGGTAAATGACTATTTTTCACCGTGGGCTCCATCAAGTACTCTTTTTTAAATGCAATTTTTCAACAGAATACCATTGGGATTGGATGTTGATTGTTGAAACTCGAAATTCAACAGAAGTTTAGTTGGCGATAGATACGGCATCCAAAGCAAAGCTGAAGATTGGGCCCACTACTATTAAGAAGATATGAGGCTGGTTGGATGGTTCAGATGGCCCAGGGCTTGGTTAAATGTTCTTTCCCTCTCCAAAAAGCTCTTTTACATGCACTTTATGTCAACCCACAAACTTAAGGAGGAAAAAGTCACAACCTGAAGCCCTAAATCGCTAAATGCATAATGTTAGGTCCAGCGCCTACATAAATTGCTATTTGGTACTACAGTTTATGAGTATTTCTCTTTACTTATGATTGAGATGTCTTAAATTCGATTATCGTCAAAGACAAATTTAAACCATATTACTATGGCTAACGCAGTACGAGGTAAGGCCCACTCCCCCACCTTTTAGTGGGGACAACTTTGAATGATGAAATTAAATTAAAGTTTGATGCAACGCTATTGAATTATTATCCAACATGATTTTGGGTAACCAGTGTTTAGAACAGTAAAATTGTAAACCATTAGCTAATGGAAAAATTACATGGCTCGGAACTCGGAAGGGTGGGAGGGTAGGGAAGGTGTAGAACATGAGAGGGTTTTTTAGTTGAGTATTTGGACTGAGACTTCATTTTTAAGAATATAGATGATTTATTGTTTTAGTTTGAGCATTTTTCATGGAAAAAAGAGTCGAGTGAGGCCCTCATTGAGCACATGCCGACACCATCCATGTATTCACAACTACAAATGTTAATTAGGTAATTATTTTCTTGCTCATGTAATTAATTTTTTGGCTATGCAATTTCAAATTTGTGAAGAAAATGGGATTTCATTATGTTTTTGGTATAAATTTAAAACCATGCAATTTATATTTGTTCATATTAAAAACACATGAACTAAATTGAAAGCACTCAAAAAATTATAATGAACAAAAAACCTGTACCCGAAAAAAACCGCCAAATTATGTACTCAAAAGTCCAATGAGTTGACACTCGACTCGTCCAGTCCACCACCGGGTTGACACCGAGTTCGGCTCCCAAACCCCGAGTTGAGCAATTCCGCCCAATCCACTTCATCTTCTTCTTCCTTCTCTTTCCCTCTCATCATCTCCAACATCCGCCTCGCTTTCTCCCTCGCCCGTTCGCTTCCCTTTTTCTCCACCTCTCTCAACACCTCCACCACGCCCGCCTTCTTCGCCAGCCCCTTGAACCTCAAACCGCCGTAGCTCAACCCATACATTGTGGCCACACAACTCTCTTGTGTCGCCTTCGAGTCAAACTCGTTTCCCCTTAACACGCCCACCAAACACTCCACCCCACCAGAATCCAACAATGCGGCCCGCCCGTCGGCACACAAACTCAAATTACACAATGTGAGCAATACCCGACCGGTCATGTGACCCGACTTCAACATTCTCAGAAGAACCGGAACCGAGCCGAGCTTAACCAACTTGGACCGGTTGCTCTGGACGAGTGAGAGGTGGTACAAAGCGAGTGCCGAGTCATGCCGAGTCCGCTCGCTCTCGGACCGGAGTAAGTGCAGCAATGGCGGCAACGCGCCCAAAACACCAATGGCGGTCTTGCAGTCGTCGTCGAGTGCCAAGCTGAAGAGCGCACTGGAAGCGTGTTCCTGCGCCTCAGGGGTTCCGGCCTTGAGCACGTCGATCAGAGGAGGGAGGACTCCTGACCGTACGATCTTAATCTTGTTTGACTTTTCCAGCGACAGATTGACCAACGCTGCGACGGAGTCCACCTGAACGGCGGTGTACCTGGATGTAATCAGAGGGCGGAGGGCGGAGAGCAACCGCGGGGTGCAGAGACGGGCCCGGGCGTCCTCTCTCGTCCGCGTGATATTCCTGAGCGAGGCCAGGGCCTCCTCGATTTCGAACACGTGGCAGCTTCTGAGCTTGATCGGGATTTCGTCTTCTACGGAGAGGGAGGGATTGCTGTTGCAGTTGGGATTTAAAGTTTCAAGTTCCGAGGATGAAGACGACGGGGAGGAGTAGCATCTCGGTGGAGTTGAGAACGGGAGAGGCGGAGCCGCGGAGACCGATTCGTCGGAGCTCGAGGGGAAGTGAGTTGGGAGTCGAGTCTGCTCGGTGGCCGCCTGAGTGAAATTCACTGTAGGGTTGATCAACAGCTGATTATCCGAAACTACGACGTTCTGGGGCTTAGTTTCGTTCCGGGAACCAATGGAGGCGCGGACGATCTTCTCGGCGGAGGCGAAATCGAGGGGCTTGGGAGGATCGACGGAGGACTTGTGGCACCAGCTGAGAATGGCGGACCTGAGGGCGAGGTTGGAGATTACGGAGGAGAAATCTGGCGGCGGAGAGTCCGGAAGAACAGGCGTGAAGCTGAGGGACTTGCAGGCTTGGACGCAGGCGCGCTCGAAGGTGTGGCCGGACGAAACGATGACCGGGTCCGCCATTAGAGAACCGGAGATTGGACAGACGAACTCTTTGGGAGCTTGCGGCTTTGAAGTTTTCGACGGAATTGCCGACGACGACCTCTGAAAAAGCTTCCATCTCCGCCGGGGACTCATGCTTGCACTGCTCATCTCCGCAGCTCTTTCCGGCGTCGCGAAAGCCCATTCGTTCTCTTTTGATTTGTGGACCATCAGCTTCATCAAAGCTTCTTGAAACTCGACACCCGAAAAAAGCAAGTTACTTTCTTCAATTCCGTATTATCTGAGTAAAAAAAGTTCTGAGCTTTAAGCTCAAGCAAGGATTGCGCCTAAACCCCATGATCCTTAATTCAAATTTAATCGGGTTTTGCGAGGCTAATCAGATGGGATTATGGTTTGGATAATTTGAGCAGAGATATGGAGGTTGCCTAACATTTGAAGGTAGAGTTTGGTGGGTATACGGAGAGAGAGAGAGAGAGATTGGTGTTGTTTGTCTGATGGAAGACACTGGGAAGAGGACTGGGATTCCGATTCCTCTGGTTTGGGAAAATTAGCCGCAATCAGAAAACAAAAGCTGGAGCCTGGAGGTATATCAACAACACAATCTCTTGTTCTTCTTCAAGACTCCAACGGCTTCACTTGTGTTGTAAGTAACTCATTGCCCCTTCATTTTTCACCTTCAATAATTGGATTCTCTCGTCTCGCGAGTGGTTAAAATTCCCATGCTCTTTAACACTGTTTAAAATTTAGCGGACTTCTCGAACTTTTTTGGCTAATTTTGTAAGCATGTCTACTAAGTAGATATTTTTAAAATCTCCGTTTAGGCATTTGGTTACTAATCACTGTTTCGATTAATTTTTAAGTGTTTGAAAAATAAGAAATGAAGTCTAAACCTACCTAAAAACGCCCACCTAGCAAGTCTACTCTACTTAAACTTGCTTGGATCGTGATTATCACTTAGACAGAAAATTGATAACTTTCATTTTACATTTTATTTTTTCAATAAATTTTAAGAGATTTGTTGAATAACTAAACGAACACTCATTGTATGCTTGTTTGTCAGGTTTTCAATATGTTCTTCTAATACTTTATAATTTATATAGCATTCTATTTTGTAATTTGTGCATTTCTATACGATTATGTTTTTTTTTTAAGTATAATAAGACATTTGTTTGTATGTTATGTAATAAATTTAGTTAAAACTTAAAAAAAAACCGCATAGATCCCACTTAAACGCCTAAGTGTTAAGCTTATACCTGTCACCTGACTAGCGCTTATTGCTTTTTAGAACATTCACTAAGTAAGAATCTTTGCTGTTTTCTATGATTGACAAGGAAGATTGAAACTTCATAATTTTACTCAACTTACTGCATTGCATCCACTGATTGTGATAGGCATTAGACACGACTCTATTACTTTATCTGTGAAATGAAGCTTAGCAGTCAAATTTTTTGACTAATTTCTTACAATTTCATTAAATAAAACTTTGGAGAAGAATGAAAAGAGATTCTCTTTTCTCTTCCTTCAAAGTTCAAGGATAAAATGATTCTGATTTTTAAAAATTAGATCTAACGGCTAAAAATTATTATAATTTTTAAAAGTTTTTACTAACTTATTTGTTTTCAACCATTGGATCAAATTTTAAAAACCTAAATCACTTCATCCCTGAACTTTGAAGGAAGAGTTCCGAAGAAAATTTTTTTCCAAAAAGAATATCCTTGAAGCTTATTCTTTAATTTATTTTTTACCAATTTTCCACGCATCAATTTTGTAGCATGGAAAGTCTAAAAGCTAAAAACACCTTTCTCAGTTTAGACGAAATTGATGGGTGATTTGTTTTACTTCTGCTCTATAATGTAAAGTAAATGATTGATGCTGCTCAGAGGATATATGACAATATTCTGCTATGAATAACATGTTTGGTTTTGGAGGTATATTTTGTTGGGTCTAAACATGATGGATTCTAACACGTTACTGGGTGTATATCTCCTCTTTATAATCAATCGCATTACGTAACAAGAGTGATATCAATAAAGTATATAACTGATTGTAGATCATTCTGATATTATGTTTGTAATTTTGTGACGAGATAAATACTAACAGTATGATGTACACTGGTTGTACACAAGAACCGCATTCTAAACAGATGTTGATCCGTGAATTAACAGAAGCTTAGAGAAGGAATGATGTGGAAATTTCTGGACCATCCATCTCATAGATTAACACCATCTCATTGACCACTTTTGCAGACAAATACATGCTGCTACAGCAGTTTGATTCCACCCCTGAGAAAGTTTAAAGAAAAAGGTACTCTCTCTCGCTCTCTCACGTCCTCCTTTTTCTTCAAAAGTGTTGTTTTTGTGGGCAATATATGTCTCTTGACTTACTTTGCATGGAGGAGATGTACAACTAAGTCACAAAGAAGAAGAGCGCCACTGATCATTATTGCATGAGAAATGCTAACGGAATTTTCTTAAAGTAGAACTCTTCATAAAGTTTATGTCTCCTCATATTTTCTGCATAATATTTTATAATACTAACATGGAAATTGACGTTAAATTGTGAGGAAGCAGAAAATTCACAAAAAAATATCTCACTTTTGAGGCCCCCTTACGTTTGTCTTATTACATATACTTACTAGTTAAGTTTGTGTAGCCATATAAAACTAGAAATACCTACTTCCTTTATCATTGTTCTAGGCTGGATAATATATCCCTTTCCCTTTTTACCAAAGTGATTGATTCCTTTTTTCTACTCAATACATGGCCCACCCACCCTTCACATAAACTAGGGTTTTTTCTTTCTTCTCACTTTTCTTTCGTTAGATTAAACCAAGTGCTTAGTTAGTTAGTTTATGTTAATAATTTTAATTAGTTAAGAGAGGTAATCTTTCCATTTATTTTGGTTGAACACTGCTTTCATGTTTTCATGGGGAGATCAGATTCTGATCCATGATTTGGTTGTTGTCCTTCTTAATCTAATTAAGGTAGGAGTTGCATGTTTTTAATTAAAAACACACACACACATATATGTATATGAATATTTTGCTTCCAAAATGGTTTTCTTCTAAAACACACTTAAGAAAACTAATTATCTTCTTAATTATTTGACATCTACGTCGAGATTTTAACCGTTAAATTCTTGGTCACCTCAGAGTAAATGCCCCATCTTTCTAGGTTATTTTTAGATCAAAAGCTTTGGTTGCATTTTACATGCACTTTTCACGTGAGGTAATGCCGCTAATATTTGAAGCTATGACCTGAAAACAGCTGAAGAAGATGAATATTTAGAGTTTGTGGTTTTCACTGGCACCCAATAAGCAACGCATGACTGCATGATTTAGTTAGTAGTACCTACACTTTAACAAGAGCGGGTTCTAACCGTGTCCTTAATTAGCTCTAATAATCTTTCCATTAAGATCCAATCATAGAGCAGCATATATATCTTTCTGACACTTGCAGCAACTAGTCTAATCCAATATATAGGAAAGTTATCCTGTCAAGTTCAGAAATTCAGGTTATTGAAATTTGATCCAACGGCTAAAGTTATTATAACTTTTAAAGTGGACCTCTGTTTGTAGCCTTTGATCAAATTTCAATGGTCCGGATTCCCAGACTTGGTGGATTATGAGGAATGGATCCGGAGATGATCATTTTCCCATTATATATGTGTATATGGGGACAAATATGTATATATTTGAACCGTCTATCTTTTATATCTTTTTGGTTTTCTCTCAAATATCACATCTATAAAAAATCACTCATCTTTGAAACAGTATGACTATGGGATTAAGGGTTTACAGTTTCTTTGTAGAATCGTATTTGTCCATTTTCTTCACTACAAATGAATATTTTAATGATTTTGAATTTGTCTAATTGTTTACAAAGATGATCTATGAATGATGCTCTAAAAAACAAACGATTTGGATCATTAAAATACATTAAGTAGTGGACCCCATAAAAACGCGTGCTAAAAATTGTGTAAAAAAAGTGGTGCTACGGATCTGCTTATATATATATATTATTGTGTGTACTAGTACTATATAATATTGGATATTGGACATGAATAATTTTGGTTCTTTCGTCCCCTTTGGTATATAAATATATACATTTATATGTGCCCATAGAATTAGAGAATGTTGATGTGGTTTAAGCTTTATGGAAAGAAAGAGTGTTTTCCAACTTTACAATTTGGCATGGACCTTTGTGTTTCCTTATAATATTTCTGCTGCATCTGCATGGCCTGTTTACCCCTTTCATCCACAGGAGGTTAGGTAGGTCGGAAATGCATCATGTCCAGATCCCTTCCTTTTAATTCATCAAATCAGTGGATTTGTACCATTGAAATTTGATCAAACAGTTAAATTTATTATAACTTTTAAAGTGGACTCTTGTTTGTATTCATTGGATCAAATTTCAATGACATGAATTTCCAAATTTGGTGGATTAGGAGGAAGGGATCCAGAGGATCCCTGCCCAGGTAGGTCACCATCTTCATGGTAAAAAGCGCATTGTGTTTAGCTTTTTGTCTAATCCTTCATGTCCTGTCGACGGAGATTGACTTCTCTATCTCCGTCACAGTGTTTTTTTTTATCTTTATCTCTCTCCTTGCGTGACGTGATCAATCACGATATGATATAGACAGAGAGCGAGCGATACTGCCATGGGAAAGGGAAGTATTTTCACTTGTGAATATTCCTGCTATGAGCTTCAAGGAATGAAGAGTATGGGAAACGGGCAATTCGAACGTAATTTACATGGAGAAAAGAAGGGGATTTTCTCGTGGGGCCTCTGCATGTTTGTGGAGTAGGGAATTGGATTCTCGCCGGCAATTTGAAACTGAAATGAAGAGTATAGTCTTCATCCAAATTTTAAACTAATCTACATTTGTATTTAGAGGAATTTGAACCCACATGCATATAGGAGAGCCATTCACCCTTGCAAATGTAGAGAGATATTTCAGTGTCTCCGAAACACGAGCACATAAGCCATATGTTATTATACAAGTGAATGAGCACTTGAAGAAAAAAAAAATCCCTTCTCTTGTAGCTATTATTATGGCAACGTCAACAAATCATACACTATTTTAGATGTTTATGAAACTTGTAGCTAGTGTTCGTTCTTGATCTTTATCATCTACAAAAGGATCCAAAACAGTTACAATCTTAAGAATGGGCTGCAAAGTTGGCGTCCTATTGTTGTGAATGGGCTACTAAGGATTAATTGGTCACTGGCAAATGCCAAGTTTAAAGATCCGAGTTTTAAATTAGGCAGTAACCCATCCCGTCGATTCGCATTACACAAAGCAAGTATTTGGATCTCTCTCTTTTCAACGGCCCACACATCTTCAGGTCTTTGGACTCTGCACATAGATATTTTGGGGCTCTCGATCACTGTTCTAAAAATCCTTGCCTAGCACCACCTAGGTACTAGGCGACTAGTCACCACCCCAATTAATGTTTAGGCGTTTGAAAATTAAGAAATGACACCTAAACCAGCTGAGGCGTCCGCCTAGCACGCCCAGACTCGCCTAGGCATCCGCTCAGGTTGCAGCTTACTTAGACAAAAAATAGATAACTTTCATTTTACATTGAATTTTTTTTTCAATAAATTGTAAGAGACTTGTTGAATACTTAAATGAGCACACACTATATGCTTGTTCTCTAGGTGTCAGCCAACACATCACGATTCGGATGGACACGTAGACATTCCGGATTGGGATGTGTTATTTTGGTATTAGAGCTAGGTTTTGAATTTGT